TGGTTGCTTAAAACAAAAAAAGTGAAACTCTATTAGGAGCTGCTCCTTGTCAAAATAAATCAAAACCTATATGACTGGACCATGTGGCAATTTAATTTGAAAGGACTGACACAGGAAGAGGCCACGCTCAGCAGTCAGACAGGAATCACATTACAAACCAATCACAGTCTACAGATATCTTTCACTTCTTCTGTAAATATTCAGTCTGATAAACACATAAAAGTTGATCATGTTAGTTTAGGACTACACCTGCATCTGTCTACACACTTATAAACAGCACCTGGAAGAAGATCAGCTCTGCACTCAGGATTTCAAGTAAATAGGCTATATGATGCTTGTTAAGGTTGCTTAGCAACCTCAGACGCAACCCATACTCTTGAAAGCTGGCACAGAAAAGGCACAAGAGTAGTGCCCAGCGCCTGACCTTCTAGGCGGTTAAAGACACGGCATGTGTACGGCCCCTAATTTACAGGGCTGGTACCTGCGGTTATTACACAGGCTAGTTGATATGCCGGGCAGGAAATCCAAAGTGCCCCGTCTGAAGCATTATCATGGCTTTGATAATAACAGATAAAGACACCTTAATAGGCTGAAAACATTTAAAATGGGTTCACCTCTCAAAATCTGGAAAATTTTAAACAGAACTGTTTCACAATGTGCATGTGTTGTTGTAGTTAGGGTGAACTGACCAGTGTAATCAGTTTAATCTGAGTCTCTCCTCTCTAAATTTTACTGCCGAACATCGACTGGCAAGCTGTAAATAGTCTTTGAATTATAAGAAATGTTAACTCTCATTTTTATGCATTACCTGTATGAAAAATAGCATTCCCTTTAAGATTTGACTTTGGGAAAATATGCTGTCTGGATATAAACTCACTTAGATTCAAAACAACCTGTATTTGTCTCAGTGTTGCGCTACTTGTCTGTTTGACTAATGTCGCCTATATGTCAAAGTAAAGTAGAATTGTACTGCACCACTACCACTTAGTCACTCTGTTTAAAAAGCAGAATATGTAAACGCTTTATGGAGTTGACAGTAATAATGGTTATGACTCTTCAAACGGACTTAGCTAATAGCTTTAGCTCCATTATTGCTGTCTTATGAGGGACCACTTGTGTTCAGCTCTGATATATCACAGGCCAGTGTGCCTTTTTTTCTGCTCTGTGTGTGTACAGTAAACGCATGCACCTATTTCTATAATGTCGGATTAATACGGGGCATAAGGCACAGATCAGTTTGGATGGCTCTTTATCTCAGGTATATGAGTGTGAATAATGTGTGTGTGGGGGGTTGGGGGGTGGGGTCATTGGATAGAGGTGGTGGTGGGGGGGTTGAGAAATGATCTCACGCAGAGATGCTCCATAAATCCCACTCATAATTGTTTCCCTACTTGGTGTGCAGTCTTGCTCCATAAAGGGGCAAAGCCAAGGGTGCTCTAAATGTCAGGGGAGCGGCGCGCTGATGAATTACCTTTTAAAGATATCAGAGAGAGGCGCGTTTCACGTGAAAGATGAGCCCAACACAGAGCCCAGAGGCCCTGTCTGCCTGTGTGAGCATATTTCCCCCCCAGGGGAAATTTGTCTTTTTATCCACTGTCCAGAGAAGTCACAGCATATCCTAAATGAATAAATCAAAGAGAATTAGTTTGCTCTGTTCTCTTATCTCTGATGTGCCCGTTTTTCTGTAGAGATCACCTGCAGATGTGTTTCTGTGTGTGTGTGTGTGTGTGTGTGTGTGTGTGTGTGTGTGTGTGTGTGTTTGCAGAGTTGGCCTGACAGTAGAGGTGGCTCACATCTGAAACTGTCTGGATTATTTTCAGCTGGCAACATTAACACACATACACTTTGGTCTGTCTTTTTAACCCCTGACAAGACAAAGTGTGAGTAAAAATACGCAAACACCATTTCACCACTCCATCATGACGATTCAGAAGCCGCACTGTGGTTTGTGTGTGTGTGTGTGTGTGTGTGTGTGTGTGTGTGTGTGTGTGTGTGTGTGCAGCCCTGGGCAGCAATGCAGCCGATAATCCTTGCATAGCCGGAGTTTGGTTGATGCCTTGATGTTAGTCAAGGTAGCTGAGATGGTGCTAGTTTTAAACTGAGGTCGCAGGATGTCTCTTTGCCCTTGGCCTGTCTGGGACAGCTATCATTACAGACCCAGTGCCTCTCCAGATAAGAGCACCCAGGACTTCACAGCACACAGGCTGCCGCCGCAGCAACCTGCTGTGGTAGCTCATGCTTAAAGGATAATACTTTTTACACATTAATCAGATGGCTCTTTGACCACAGAGCATTGCACACCCCAGATGAAATTGAAATGCATGGTTTGGTTCCCTGATAATCTCCACACAAACATCAGTAAAATGTAGCCCCTGCTGAAATGAAGCAGAGTCCTGGGAGTGACTGCGGCAAGTTTGAAAATTCATAGTCAAAAATTGCAGAGATACTGAGAGTCTCACTAATTTCTCTCTCCAGTTCACTCTTTCTAGTTCCTCAGACCATCTGGGCTGCTGGCAAATGTAAACTCTGTGTTATGAGAGATAGAACATAAAGCTGTTTCACTTTCTAATTTGGGAAGAACGCAGTTAAGTCTGTAGCAGAAATGTCACTGGTACATGCTCCTTAGGGATTATTCCTCGTATGACCTCAAAACAAAAAGCTGACAAAGCATTAGTTTGATAAGATGGAAAATATTGGACTTCTAATAAATCAGAAGTACTGTTTTACAATGATGGTGGAGCCTCAAAAGTGCTATAAAACAGTGATTAACAAGTTGTCACCAGCAAGTTGTTCACCTACAAAGCAAAGGACAAATGTGATCTGTCATTTGTTACGTAATATGAAAACGCTTCAAATAATCAATTCCTTGACCTCTAAGTCTTTGATTCTGCCATTTTCAATTTAGCAGTTTAAAGTGAAGTTTATTTTGTCTGGGGTTTTTTCTCCCTCCTTCCCTCATGAGCGAGAAATTGCCTTTTCGGGCTGTGAAAGCAGCCACTCATTCGTGTTAATTTCTGTGTTGCTTTCCATCAATCGTCCTCCCCCTCTCTCTGGGTTTTTATGTTTATCCCCATCTGTAGGGCTGCCTCTATCCTCCTCTATTCTTCCTTTGTGTTTACGTCTATGAATTTTGAGAAAAACATGTCGAGGAGCTCCCCTTGGTGATGGCAGCAATTTGGCTTTCATATATTCCTATCCTCCAGACACTGCTTAGTGCCGCTGTAGTGAGTGTACGTGCCTGTGTGTGTGTGTGTGTGTGTTTGTTTTACAGGATGCTAAAGAGTAATGAAACTTAGCTTTTATTTTGAGCTACAATTTAAGAGAGAGTTCAACAACCTGGAAGTGAACATTCAGCTAAAAATATAAAAACAATATGATTTTTAAGTGATGTCTCATGACTGTGATTATCTGCAGGCCCTCAGCTTACAGTAAAAGAGGTGAGCGGTGGAGGGTGGGGGAGGTCGTGGCGTGTTTCATACCTCTAAACTGACAGCTCGTCAAACAGCAAGCAGTAATTGAAAAGCAAAAGTGGATAATGATCGTTTATATGTGTGAAATTCAAACCAGGGGTTGAGAAAAAGCCGGACTTGTCGGTTCAAGGGTTTGTCTAGCTTTGGTTGGCTGAGTAATTAAATCAGAGAAGCGAGTTCTCCTCAGCTCAGTGCCTCGTCTTGTTTCCTCTTTAATCAGGTGGCTATTAAACCTCTGATTGCACTCCTCATCTTCTGACTTCAGCTTAGCTATTAAACACAGACTGAAAGCATTTTTGGTTTGCGTGCGTGTATATGTGTGAGGATGCCTATTGTTTCTTGTTGTTAGGATAGAAGAAGCTTGAAAAGCGAAGGAAAAAAAGGAGAGTGTAAATACAATATGAGTGTCTGAGGTTGTGAAGAAACAAGACGCGGTGACATGGTCGTGGTGTTATTCCACCAGCACCACAAGCAGCAAAGTGTTATTCCACTTCTTGTTGACTACAAGATGAATACTTCTCCCCACAACCATAAATCCATTTCACAGAGAACCGCTGACCTGTGAGATATATCTGTGACCTCACGTTTTAACTCAAAACACACACGTTGATGCGCTAAGCCACACATGCACAAGCAGACCAGCACTATTTCTCCCTCTCTTCTCTCCCAGTCATCACGCAGCCGCAAATCCTCTTAACACAGACGCACATTTCGTGGACATTTGCAGAGATAGTTTGTATTTCTCTGCTATTGAAAATTCCAAAGTGGCTTCTGCCTCCACACACTGTGAGTGACACATGACCTCCTCCAAGGTCATCGCAGATTCCTCCTGCACTCCTCAGAGATCACCCAGATTAGACTGATGCCCGGGCCACCGCCGGCCGAGCTGCCTGCATACATCCATTCTTATGTACTCAGCTTACTGCTGCTGGCACGGGCAAGGTTGTTCAGCAAGGAGAGTTGACCTTTGGGTTACTAACAGAGAAAACCTGGTGTTTTGCACTTTGCTTACGCTACTTTAAGGACTTATTGTTTTAGTTTTTTTACTGAAAAATCAGGAAATTTGTCTGTGTTTATTTTGAATATTGAAAAACAGCTGCAAAATACAAAACTGTGTTTAAATCGGATTATAAAAAAGTATTTTCAGAGCCTGTAGTTTAAGCATTTATTGCTTTTTTATATTTACTTCGAGGGACTATGGCACAAAATCAGCAACTCATTTACATTTTCTCTCCTTTTTTTCATTTTTCTCATAACCAGAAGCACATCCTGAGTCGTTGCAACAGCACCTTATTTTTTTCTGAAAACTGGGGTTTATAGTGCCCTCTTCCAGGAGAAATCACAAAAAGTTAGGATGCATAGGGACATTAAAATCTACCTGAAAGACTGTTAAAACTTTATCGTCTCCTTTTAAAAAACAGCATCCTTCTGCGATAATGATCAACCGGGAAATAATGGTCTTAACTATATTTGCCAGTTCACGATTGTGAGTCTGATTGTGTGTGTTTATTTGTGTGTGTGTTCTTACAGCCCCGGTCATCCTAAACGAGCTAAACTGGACCCAGGCGCTGGAGAGGGTCTTCATTGAAAACCGTAAGGAGGACAGCTCACTGCGCTGGCAGGTGTTTGGCAGTGCCACAGGAGTGACTCGGTACTACCCAGGTAGGCCGCAGGAGACTGAGTCAACAGCCCATCTTATAACTCACAGCCAGATAAAGTCTAAATTGACCCGAGTGCTCCTCGGCGGCAGAACATTGGCAATCTCTTATCAGATGGCTGTTCTAGTAACTCGATAGACAGAATGAAATTATGATTACTTTGATATAATCTGATATGAAATATCCTACAGTGCACCATGCGGCTTATAACTTATTTTCTGGCTCTCTCCAGCCACTCCATGGAGGGCACCCAACAAGATTGACCTGTACGATGTCCGCAGAAGACCTTGGTAAGTGCCATCTTTATCAGGACCTCGATCAGTATCAGTGTGATTTTATTTCATTTCTTTCACTGTTAATGCCTACTGGCCATTTTGAGAAAAATACCCCCAAAAACATCCATTATCCTCAACATTTTTCAAGTTTTCAGAGGTTTTTAGTTCCTAAATCGGCACATTTGGACTTTCAGGGGCATTAATGGTAATAGAAAGAACACAGATACTGGTGTTGGTGCACCTCTGAATAATTATCATCCAAAATCCAAGCTCTGGCTTTTAGTATAACAGTGGAAGAGTTGTTTGCTACTCATTTTGGATTTGCACATTCAAGTTTGACTTAAATAAAGTAGCATCAACGGATATAAAGTAGACATTATAAACTGTTTTTACTGATGATGACTAAACCAGCTCCAGACATGGTAAATTCTCATATAAATCTGGCGTATTTCAAAGAATATACATCTCAATTTGCTCTCAATTATCCCGGTCCAGATGAGTGTTGGAAGGTGTTTGTTCTGGGCACCAGGTGAGTCCAGCTGAGCGTTGAGAGTGAAGGAGATTGTCTCGCTTGAAGCGGACAGCCTCTAACCAAAACAAACAGCAGCAGCAGAGTAAAAGTGCAGAAAATTGCAGAAATTTAACTTGTCATCGCAACACCTGTGCTGTCAGCAGCGGCACTGTCATGCTGTCTTAATATTGTGACAAACTGTTGGGATCTGATCGGAGTCCTCCTCGTACACGCTGTTAACACGTTTGATTTTTAGTGCGTGTGTTGTAATGGAGGCGTCTGCTCACTTTGCCACTGCATGTGGTATTTGTTGTTATACTTAAGATTATTTTAGGTCTTCTCATCCTCATAATCTTATTAGTTCTTCACTCAGTCCTGGAGTGAAAAGGAGTAACCTACTTACATGCAGCTATTTTTCAATTATTACATGCACTTCACTAAATTAGAACACTCTCTACCAGACGTGGGAGTAACTCACACATGTGCAAGTCACAAGTTTTAACCTTCAATTCCCAAGTTACCGTGATGAGAATCAAGCAAGTCAAGTCCCTGCTATGAGTTAGCTTAAAAAACACGTTCCTGTAACTTTCATTATGGGTGATGTCAGGGGTGTCAAACGTACAGTCTGCAGGCTGGAACCGGCCCGCCAATGGATCTCATCCAGCTTTTCAGATGACTGTACAAAAGGCACGATCATAAATACAATATTCTTGTCCCCCAGTTTCATCAGCCGTTTATATTCTATCATAATAATGCCTTCAAACAGCTCAGATCGAGCTGACATGGGGAGCTAGTGACAGACTTAGCAAAGTGAGCGGAAGGATGTGTGACTACCTTGGGTTTTCAAAATAAGGTGTTCTAAAATACATACAACAGTATGGAAATACGATTAATTTGATTATTTTCAGTGGAAGTGTAGTATTAATTACCAGTGTCTCTTATAAATTAAAAACTAAATACCTGTAACTTGTAAAGGAAATGTCTTTAGTTTCTGATTTTTGGGTCGCTGGAAATTTTGATTTTGAGGACATACCTGACAACATACAGACACATAATTCAAGTATTTTTACTGTATCAGTATTTAGAGATATTCCAAAGTAAAAGTCCCACATTTCCAACTTGAAAAACCTGAAACTTGAAGAGCCATAAAAAAAAAAAAAACAACCAAAATGCTCCATAATTCCTGACAATAACTGAAATATTTGAGTTCAGGATTTCACACTACACTCATCCGAAAAATCAAGTATCTTTACTGCATCAAGGTTTATATATATATATGTATATATATATATACATATATATGAGTGGCAGACCTTGCATACCACTGTTCCCTTCTTACTATCTTCATCGACATCATAACCTTTGAACATAAATTTTATCATTCTGCATGATCTACCTACCTCGCTGGTTTGTTGCATCCCTGTGGGTTGCCAGGTTTGCGCACATTGCACTCAAAATCACCCAATTGTGTTAAAAAAAACAAAAAGTAACCTCTCAATATCTAGAAATATTTAAATGTTTAAATAAAAAGTCAAGTCTCACATCATGAATATCAATTAAAAGTAGAGGTTTTTTTTATCGGTGTTAGTCAAGCAAGTCTCAAGTCCTCAAATTTGCAACTTAAGTCTGACTCAATTTTCCCACTTCTCTCTACAGTTGTAACATAACCTATGCACCAGTACAGTAATTTAAAAAATGCTTCTGAGGATGCCCTTACAGAAAACAAGTTAAAAATGACATTTTTCTATAATTTTTTTCCCTTAACTAACTGCTTGAGGTATATCCGCACAGTAGAGGGATACATGAATGTAAACACTCGCACAAAAAAGGTTTAAATCCTTAAACACAGCCTTACATTAGGATTCCTGTACAGTGCTTTGTCTCTGGCTCCTGTAGACCTCCCGCGCTCCTTACAGCAGGCAGCTAAATAAAGGATATTGTTTAGTGGAATGAGATCAAAATGTTTCCCTGACCCGTATTTATCTCAGTAAGTGATAATGTTGATGCATTGTCTTTTGCTACAAGGACAAAGCAAGATAGAGCCTAATGTCTTTGTTTAAAGTGTCCACCTTTGCCTGTGGTTCTCTGTGCAACAGCTGATCCCTACACAGAGTGCTGGGGCAGGCGAGTGTGACGGGCTGGACAGAACTAGGCTGCGTTCGGCCAAACAGCCCCCTTCACCCAGCCGCCCAAGCTTCCTGTCCGCCCTTCCACTTTCAATCTACCTGCCACTGTCACATCGGCTTTGTGGCAGCCCTGCCTGTTGCCTGGTTACAGGTTGGAGTGAACTGGACATAATCATGACAGCAATGTTGATTAGACCTGACCCCGTTTTCCATCTCTGTCTGGATCCAGCTCAGCCTGAGTGGCTGTTTGAGGTCAGCCCAGCCTGTCAGATAGAGTCAATGAGCTCAGGCCAAACAAACAAAAGACAAGCAAAAGAAGCTTTTTGCATTCTGATGAAGTTCACATGAAATCTCAAAATGCACAATCTTTAAACATCTATAAATGCAGCCACATCTGAAAGAGAATGAATGCGTTCATCTTTAGAAGTAAATTAAATGTAACTTCAGTCGCTCATTTGATGTGGGGTTTAAAGGCTCAGTCAAGGTTCAATTTATTCATCCATAATAACATGGAAATTACAGTGCTCCCATCCTAATCAGCCAGCACTGGGTACCAAAACATAGCAACATAAATACCCATAAAATGAAATAATAGATAAAAACAACATAAAACTACATTCTATAATAATACTGTTTAAAAGAACTGTCCAAACAACAACATCAAAACAAAGATAAAAATAAATTAAAATCACAGTTTGAAACCTCCCTACTGTGCAAAGTTATGGTTGCACTGTTGTATCTTCTGTTGGATAAAAGAGAATAATAATCAGCCAGTTAGTTGAGACAGTAATTTTTTAACCATGTATAGTAAATTGCAGGTGTATTTATTTATAACTGATGAATTTAATCTGTCAGTTTAGGTGTGATAGCAGGTTCTTATTCGGGTGACACTTTTGTTTTTGCCTTTTTTAACAAAAAAAAAGTTAACGCCTAACACCTTGATGTGCAGTATCTGCAATTATCAGACTAACGAGGTGTTCCCTGACAGTTTAATAAACACCACAAGTCTCCCCAGTGCTCCTCTGTCACGGTAGCCAACACTGTAAACATAAAAAAAATGCTGAAAAACACAAAGCACTGTGTAGCAGGATAAGTTAAAACAGCGATTCTGTCTCTGATCTGTCAGCGCGACAACCCAAGTACACCCGAGTTTAATTCTCTTACACATGTTGTGACTTGGGGACTCCTCCCGGAGACAGGAAGGAACAAGGAAAGAGAAAGATGAGGGGGACTGTTGAGTGGCAGCAGCACGTGTGACACGGTTAGACAAAGGAAGAGGTGTATTTTTGCAGAACACCTTGTCACCCCCCCCCGGTCTTCCATGTTTGTCACTCCCGTCGAGCTTTCCTCATGCCAGAGCCTTAGACATTCCTTTGGCCCGTTGCTTAGCAACATGTGCCCAGCCGCACTGAGTGGCGGGGCCGTGGCAGGGAGTGTCATGATATGTCAGGTCAGACTTGTGTGATTATAGTCTAACATGCTGTCTCCCCAACTGACATTCAGCTCAGAGGTCGGCCAATCACACACACGTTAAAAAAAAACAGTTGGGGGGGGGGCTTACAGTAGGTAAGCCCGTCATGTGTGCTTATGTGACAGCGATAGATAGCAGCATCCGTCACAGGGATGGTAACACAAACAACAACATGAGCACTTCAGCAAGTCATACGGATGCTGAACATGCACATCACCTGGTGTTAAATTCAAACTGATGTTTGAATTCTTCTCACTTTTTGTGCAAGGAAATATAAACTATAATTAAACTACAGCTAATGTGTAAGCCTAACACCCCACCACCTCCCCCACTCTACTGCCCCAGGATACAACTGTTTTTGAAAACAGCACTAAGCTTCTGGCATCTGGATGGGTGTTTCCCATGGCAACAGTTGAGTGACATCTGAGAGCCGACATTGCTAGGAGACACGCTGTCAATTTGTCATGTGCATGACTAAGACATGTCATTATTAAATAGCGTGTGAACGTATGTTGCAACACACAAGGCCACTGTGGCCACAGGTGATGATTACAGCATCAGGGAAAATACTAAAAAATAGTGTAACAGTAGAACAAGTAGAGTCATAATCTGCACAATATCACTTACACAGCAAAATTGCTAACAATAGCCACCATAAGCTAAAACAACTGAGAAAGTTGAATTAAGCCAGGGTGAGTATTTTTGCATTATTATTATTACAGCCTTGCAAATCTCTGTTTCCTTCTCTTTGGCACCTATGGAGATAAGTGGTGTTTGCAAGTGTGTTTTTGGATCTCACTTCCCAGAGACTTTCTGCTTGTGATATTTCTTAGGACTGTTGCCACAGACACCCAGTCCGTAATACTGCAAATGCAAGGGCCTCAATAGTGTGCCATAGACTTGTGTT